GTTTACAACAAGAAGTGTAGTTGCAGAGGGGCGTGATTATGTACAGGGACTGTACATAATCACACCGGGGAGCTAACGGTACATCTGCAGTTGTMTCCTGACAACAGCTTTGCTCTGCTGAAGCTGCTGGGGGTGAAATGCTTTACCTGCAGGAAGCAGATGATGGAGAGGAATCATCCTTTCAGCTCAACTAAAGCTACCCCTCCTTTTTTGTTTCATTAAAAGGTTTTTGTTATTCAAATCAGTGGTTTTCTTCCTACTGCCAAACACACAATACGATTGGAAAGATGCCCAAAGCGTGATCCAACAAACATTTTCAGATTAGCATAAAATTTTCTTCAGCAGGACCTTATCAAAACTCTTTTTTCTTCTAATATAAAGTCAGCAGTATATGCTCTGTGTTTTCTTTTTCAGTGAGTCAAAAAAAGATAACAGCATAAAGAGATCARAGCAGAAAAACTGCAACAGAAGGGAATCAAACTAGAATTCACATGAGGGAATTATGTGCATGTCTGAAACGAAGTAACCCTACAGCTGCAGCGTACTTGTAATATTTGTGTCACAAACTGATCACAGGCAACTTTCTCTTTTTATTTCACTCTATGTGAAGCCTCTATTCTTTGTATGTTTAATGTGGGAATTGTAACATCAAATGTGTAAAAACTTCACGCAAGTTTCAAAAAGGCAGTAAAATACATCCTGTCATAAATTGCCTATGCCAGTGTTAATTTAACACCCACAGTGTTAATTTTAACACCAGCAAAGTGTCACAGCAAAAACAGGAGTGTTAAAATTTCAGTGTTAAACTTTTGGGTGTTGATTTAACACCCCCTAGTGTTATTTTAACACTTTCTGAGTAAACTGACACCCAGTGTTGGTGTCAATTCACAGTGTTGATTTCCTCAGTGTTGTCTCAACACTGGACAGTGTTAAATAAGCTCCGCCCACAGCTAAGTCTTATATAACACTTAACAGTGTTGTTATATGACACCATGCAGTGTTGAAAGAAGTTTTCTGAAAAGCCCCGCCCTCTTCCACCTCGTGTCAGACAGACCAGTATTTACCCAGCATTCCTTGCTGAGAAATCTTGCAGAAATAATGTTTTTGCATGTTTATGACTATTAAAGACGTTCATGAGAGTAAAGATTTGTTGTTCTGGTTTGTTTTCTTGATCATTTTGATCAAGTTGTTCAACTTTAAGTTTATGTTATTGGRCAAAAATTGACACCATGAGTGAGAGGTKTGTCCTGGTGTGTGAAGGGRGACTCCYTTGTAATTTTCTACTAACTACTGAGTAGTGCTAAGAGTTTGATATTAACTCAGTGTTAAATTTACACTCTCAGTTTGATGGTGTATTGGCACCTTGTGGTGTCCGTTAACCTTTCAAACACTACAATTTATTTTGTTAATACTAAAACACTGGTGATACTTTTAACACTTAATGTTAACACTGTCCAAGTGTAAATATGACACCCAMTATTGTGGAATATTTAGCACTGGACGGTGTTAGTGTTAAAATATAGTATTAACACTAACACGCACCTTTACAGTTTAACATGCAACTCTTATTACCGTTCCATGCGGTCAAATATGGTGAAAGATATTTTATTCCAGACATATTTTGACCTGTAAATAACCTAGACTGGGATTAGTGAAGTGATCCCAAACTTGTATCCCTTATATATTTTAATGAGCCAGCTGTCTGCCTGCTCAGACAGGTGCCTTACGAAGCCTCTACCTAATAAAGCATCTCGTCCTAAAGGTGTCTTCTGATCTCCCTCTGTCTCTTTTCATTCCCCGCTACAGGCCTCAGTCCTTCTGGTTGGGTCATTTCCAGTCTCTCCTGTATTGCTCGGAGAACAACCAGCTCGGGGTATTCTCCGAGGAGCTCCACAGCTGCAGCTGCCGATACGAGCACAGCCCCTGTCAGCTGCCTCCCCCCTGCTCCGTCGGGGAAGGCTCGTCCTGTGCAACGTGCGCGGCAGACAACCACACCAGATGCGGGAGCTGCAACCCGGGCTTCGCGCTGACGCAGGGGCTTTGCAGACCCATGGTGGCAGACTCTACGGAGAACTACCTGGGCTTTGAGATGGACCTCCAGGATTTGGAGCTGGGCTACTTACTCCAAAGAGCAGACCGCAGGCTAGAGGTATCTTTTTGTTTTCTTAACGACGCCAGGCTTACTGAGAGTTGAGCTGCTTTAAAACAGTAGTTTGGAAAAAGAWAGATGGGCTCCAGGGAGCCACTCAGCATTGTATAGTGCTATCCTTCTGGCAAATGAAGAACTTTATAGCCCCCCTGCCTGTCTGTTTTACGATTTACTGTGCTGTATTTTATAGGACAACATTTGTTGTTTTTAACAACTTTTGCTACAACATAATAATAATGTCCCTAATTTATATATTTAACMTTAACAGTTAATCAACTTTATAAATGTATTTTGAAATAAAAGAGTCTGTGCAGATTTTCGTCCAACGGTCACTTTGCAGAAGACAAACTATGTTGATACTTGTGAGAAACGGACATTTTCAGAATACTATAGACTTTTCAAAAGCAGTACTATAAAACTTTCTGCATTGTGATCACAATTCAGAATCAGAAGCATTTATTGTCATTCACACACAACATCAAAGATGCAATYCAGAACAAAATTGCACTTTAGAARATCTGTTRGGAGAAAGACACACACAACAAACACGGGGGAACAAATGTCCAAGATCTTTGCTTTATCGCAATGGTTCCCAATCTTTTCAGTTTTTGACCCACAAAATGACAGTAGCCGAAACTTGTGCCCTCAGCTTTTGGGAGATAAACTTTGGTATCATGTCAAATAAACAGGGGCATAGTTTGGGCCTAAAATACCATAAAACGCCTTAAAAAGTACACACAAATTAATTCTTTTGAACCCTTTAGAGAAAATTCACAAGCTTGGTCTCTTTTTTTAAAGCTAATAATCTGAATTTTTAACTTCAGCAGTCATATTATTTGTAACTAACTAGTAT